CAAAAATATTTATATTTTAAAAGTAGTATTTTTAAGCAGCTCTGTCACCCAAAATGTGAAATGTTTGTCTGTAAAATGTGGAAATAATTGTATATATTTTAGTTGTAGTTATAAAACATTGTTCTGTTATTTTTAATAGGCATGTTGTGCATCTGTTCTCTTCAGTTTTGTTTGTGCCGACACTCTAAAGTTTTTGTATGAATTATTGATTGAGCAGCCGAGGGATTGTGCAGATGAGTCAGACACACTTTRTCACAAGTGCTCATTATTGCATCATTATTGTGGAATAATTTAATGGTTTATTTTTAATGATGGGATTATTGTACAGTCTCTAGTAAATACATAATATCAGGACTGTATTGTCCCTTTCTTAGATCAGTAAGCTTCTAKGTTTAAATGAGTCCAAAGCGTTTGTCGACACGTGCTCACAGAAAGGTCAGTTTAATTTTCTGCATCCTGACTGAGATAAATTAAWGGTCTCTCTCAGAGAAAACTGAGTCATTGGATGAAAACGAGAAGACTGATTTGCCGTACGCTTCATGTGGTCAGTGAGTCAGAGTTAATGGCTGGTCCTGATGAGCAGTGATGAGTTAATCAGGAAGGACTCACTTCTGGATCTGCTCAGAGGAGGAGGAGGACACTGACCCTCGAGCAGCAGGTCAGATAATGACTGTCACACGGGCAGAACAAGTGGTGCTGATGAAAAGTGAGCTCCTCAGACTGCTCTTCATGAGCTTGTGTGGACAGTGAGAAGAATGGATGGTCCTCAGTGTCACCAGCTGGAAGGCTGACAAGTTTAGACTCTATTATTATTGTGGGCGGCTGTGGCAGAGCGGTTAGGGGAGTCGTCCTGGAACCGGAAGGTCACCGGTTTGAGCCCCCGTCCAGCTGTCTCAGTTGTTGTGTCCTTGGGCAAGACACTTCACCCCTAATGCCTCTGATGTGTGTCCCATCAGCGTATGAGTGTGATTGGCACTGATTACTCTCCATAGATGATTGTACATGTTAGCTTTGTAGAGATCTAATAGAGTGCTGTGTGAATGGGTAAATGAGGACACAGATTGTAGTGTGAAGTGTTTTGAGTATCTGGATAGAAAAGCACTATATAAGTACAGTCCATTTACCGTTATTGAARTAAACTCGAGCACAGCTGCTTCAGGACTTAAATACTTTGAGGCAAAGTATTCTCTTTGTCAAAGAAAGGMGCAACCTTGGTTTTAGGCTTGAATCCTCCTCATGAACCGTACCGAACCTAAGATATGATGGTCTAAATATTTAGACGGTGAAAATAATTTAAACCATCATTTAACAAACATTTGATGACTTCTGTTGTTTTAAGAATAAATAAAATTCGATCTGTTCGTTCCAACAGTGATGTGCATGGATGCAAAGATCAACTTTGATGCCAAYGCAGCCTTTCGTCAGAAGAAAGTGTTCGACATGCGGGATTGGAGCCAGGAGGACCACCGGGACCAGCAGGCTGCCAAGGCTAACCTGAACTACATTGGTCTGGATGGAACCATCGGCTGCCTGGGTCTGTGTTGATGGCTTTTCTTTTCATGTTGTGTCTGTAAACACCTACTGTTACTCAGAAACACTGATTTACTTATTTAAACTCTTTGTTTCAAAACAATGTTTAATCAAAAGCAAATTGTAAATATTTATAAAGTATTTTGAAGTTTAACTTTCGTCCTGTTTTACCATTTTAGGTAGAAATCAATGAATKATGTTTCCCAGGCTGCCTTTGTTTTTATTTTCATCTGACCTTTTATTATAATAATTACAAACATGCCAGCACCAACCAATCAGCTTTGTCCTCTGCAGTGAACGGAGCTGGTCTGGCCATGGCCACCATGGACATCATCAAGCTCCATGGTGGCACACCTGCTAACTTCTTGGATGTAGGAGGTGGAGCCACAGCTCATCAGGTGACGGAGGCGTTTAAACTCATCACTTCAGACAAGAAGGTAAGAGCTAACAAACTGTCAAAATATGTGATTTTTCTGTTTAAATTTTTGCTAAAGTAATATAGGTGGAACACAAATTATTTTTAGGTAGACTTGGCTTCCTTGGAAAAAGTATTTTTGCCTTGATAATCCTTTTAGGACAAATTTTGAAGGTGGGAAAAAGTAAAARACAAACAAATTTTTTTTTAATTATCTAATATTACAGGTCTGTGGTAAATTTGTCTCCATTTGATAAAATTAGCCTTTGGCTTTTATCTCTATAGTTTTTGTTTTAAACTAAGATGAATATGGGTCTTTTTCTGTTCTGTCTAAGTGAGATTTCAATAACAGATGGAAATCCCTCTAGATGAGCCATTGTCTCAGAGTGGGATCATTTTTTATTTAATTTTTGTCACAAGGTTCAATTTGTTACCTATTGTTGTTTTTGCTTTGAACTGCATCGAAAAATAGCCTAAAGAGAAAAG